CTGTTTTTACATTAAATTATATTAGTCTGTAGATGGAAAGCTTAGAAAGGTCAGTGGTTGAGATACTCGTTTTATAAACTAATCAAACCTGACAACCCCATCACACCGGTCCAGGCAACTGCTGTCGGATTTCAAAAGAAAATTTGAGTGTGTGTGTGTGTGTGTGTAAGTGTGTGTACATTTACCCCTTTGGTTTTGTGTGTCCGCGGCGGTGTGGATTTGTACCTGCTAGAGTGTGCTCGCCACTCTGTCACTAGCCTCCGTCACATTACCATACAGCCGTGACATCTCTGGCAGCCTTCTGAAGCCTCAAATCTGATAAAAACAAAGATAAATCTGATCTCTGATCTTCCTGATGAATATGATAAGACCTGCTCCGGGTTAATAGACCTTGACACCCATCAGGGTCCCGGGATCCACTGATCCTGGATCAGAGGGGGAAGAGACTGTGGAGGTGGAGTAAGAGGGGGCGAGTGGGGTGGGGGGGGGTTAGCAGAAGCTGCCCTGGAGAGGTGCTGGCATGCTAGGCCTGGCTGACAGCCATGGCTGGGTGACGGTCCAAAGCTCCATGCAAAGCCCCTCTCTCTTGTCTGTAGGAGAGGCGAGGGGCTCATACACACACACAGACACACACACACACGCACAACTTTCTTACTCTCTTTTCCTGTATTTAATTCTCACATCCCTCTCTTCTCTCGTCTCTCTCGCGGATTCTTGCGGAGTCTAACTCTATTTCTGTTTCCTCTCTCACGCACGCTCACGCGCAGGTGGAGGGATCTGGGGGGGGGCGGATATGTGAGGGTGTGGTAGAGCTGGTGATGGGGCTCTGCTTTGATGCCCGGTGGGAGATTACGGGGCCAAGAAGCAGAGATAAAAGTACAACCGAAAACACAGGTATCTGCTCTTGCTTTATGCCGCACAGACGCATTCGCACGTACGCTTACACACATCCATAACACATGTTCCGAGTCGACGGAGGACTCAGACGCACACCTGCATGCACACTAGCATCTAATGGCTAGTCAGTGACACTGAGGTCTTAGACCCTGTCTGCCAGTCCTCATTTGTTTCCCCTGCCCCGCCTCTCTGTGTGTGTGTAGCAGTAGCACTTGCTACCGGGTGTCTTGTTACTCCTCAGAAGGTCTATTGATTTAACTCTTGCCACAATCTATAACACTATTGTCTTGCCTTAAGTGTCTCATCTGTACAATTCACTGGCAGGAGTCTATACATCAAAAACCCTGCCTGCTTAAGGATATTGGTATTCTGCAACATGCTGGGAATTCTTCTTTTTTTTTTTATTTCTCTCTCTCTGTGAAATTCACATTTCTTGCCCACTCTACCTGACTTTTTTAGAGCAAAAGATGCTCGCAGCTAATCATAAAACTGGCTGGTATGGGTTTATTTTTACATCCGTTGTGTTTGTGAAGTCAATATTTGATTCCACAACATCATAGAGCAGTGGCAAAGAGCAGAGCAGGATTTGTCAGGAGTGGGACATAGATGAGGAATTTGGCGTTGTGGTGGGATTTTGACTTATTGAAAAATAATGACATCCTCTGGTTGAATTATAGCGGCCTGCAGTTGAGGAAATGAAAGAATACAAAGGCTTAGCTTTGGCCCTCAAAGGCCTTCAGGTATTTTTTTTTTCCAAATCGCGGTTTAAATCCTAAATACACTCACTTTGAAGTGCCATTCTGACAATATGGATCCTATATGCATACATTTGAACACATTTTGGGGATTTTTGTCTACCTAAAAGCAACCAACTCCCCTGATAGTAGGTCATGCCTTCACTGGTGTGTGAGACACGCTTTATTGCCAAAAGCCAATGCGCTGACATTTGGCATATCCTGAAAACAGTCTAAAGTGCTTTACAATAATTGGAAGCCCTGTATAGATATTGCTTTATACTGGTCTGAAGCAATGGTAATTGAAACTATTCAGAATGTCAGTGCATTACAGTTATTCAGTTGATATACAATCTGTAGCCCAACGTGCACTTATTTCAAGGTTACCTTTCGGAACCTGGCGAGATCTTACAATGGATTCCCTTCAAGTAGCAACTCCCTCCGAATTGTTGACAATGGGATGTGGCCTCATCTGAGCGGTATTAATTGATCTGGTAAGAATGTCTAAAGAAGCAAGGACAGGTGGCCTCTGCAGGTGAATAGCACAGATGTTGAATAGCAACTTTTCAAAATAATGTACTTTATTCATCCTTTCAACTGTGCAAGCTTTATGAAGAGCTTTACTTCGAAGGACATATGTTACAACGTTGTGCGGCCCCTCATCTGAGGCTGTGCTGCCTGCAGCATTCTAAGCCGCTAATTGGTATCATAGCAGTGGTTTTGACCCACGGCAGCAATTGTGCCATGCTCAAGACAGCTGTTATATATTGGTTGGTATTTTACCAATTGGTTAGTAAATCTCACAATTAATCTATTTATTGCATTGAGGTCCTTGACTTCCAAACGGTTGATTCATATCAAGGGAACGTTTGTATAGGCTACTTATTACCGTCAAAGTTTATGATAAATAACTCTAAATGTCAAAAACAAAATAACAAATGTTATAAATCCGGGTTGCATGCCTACACCACCATAACAGCGTTGTATAGAGTATAGACGCTTCTGCAGTCGGCCTCCTCTGTCCATAATGAATTAGCTGCTTCAGGTCTACGATCTGAAGCTGATCTCCATCAGCCACTACCTCCGTCTCACCATCACGTTAAGAACCTAAAGTCTCACAGAGATCTGGTTGTCACGGTGAGGGCCGCTGTCACCGTGGAGACATCAGTGGTGTAATCCGTGGGAGGTACATGGACCTCATTCTGGATACCGTCGTCAGGCCCAGCAGGATATGACACAGGCCCAGCAGGAAGTGGTAGTGATTAGAGAGCGACATTTTACTGTGAAATGAGGCAATGTGTTTCATTGGCAGCCACAACACTCCGTCTATCTATTCATCTATCCATGTGTCATTTTATCACTCTATATATCATTCTATCCATTCATCTTTTATTCTATCCATATATCTATATATCTATCTATTAAATGACAAATACGGATGCACATGTTATCACAAATAATTCATTCTATCTGGTCCCGAATAATTACACTGGAAATCAAATTCTGTTGTTTTTTTCTGCTGCAGGCATGAATAAAAACATGAGGGTGATTTTTCCAAGGCAGAATAATGTGCATTGGTGCCTTCTCCTCCAGAGTTCCATTGCCCTAAAATGAGGCTGGTCAGAAGGGGAGTTATGGTGTTCCATGATGGTATTATACGATCACCACCTACCCGCGCGGTTCATTCACCCTCTCCCGGCGCTCCCTCTCTCTCCACCGCCGTATCCCTCCCGCCTCGTTCCAGCCTCACCCCAGTGTCCAAATTTTAAAACCACCCATTTTGGATCCGCATCACGGTCATTCCATTATGATGGGAGCGTGCAAGCGTGCACGCACATGTGCAGAGATCACGAATATGTATGTGGTAATGCACACACGGCCACACACTGACAGTGTTTCACAATGGTTGGATCCCCCGGCAAAAAAAATGGAACATTGTGAAATCCGCTGTATGGAAAGATGCTGTAGCTGCTATATGCTCTGTGTTTTTAGCAGTTTTAAATGTCAGTATACAGCACAGCTGGAGTTGAACATGCTATACTTTGACTCCTCAGAACTATTGCAGTACAACGTGATCTCCAAAACCTGTTCGTAAAAATGTGTACGAAAATCTTGAACATACAAATTCGTAACAATACATACGAACTGGCGGTGGTTAACCACGCTCCTTGAGTGAACAACATGGCGGACCATGTCAGATTCTTGAGTGAACGTCTCTCCGCCATGTTGGATGGAGGGTTAGTATTGTATTCTTACAAGTTAACATTGATTTCTCGTTAAAAATGCAATCATAACACGTTTATTTTACATCGTTAGACTTCACAAAGTGTGTTTCCGGGGTGCAGGTCCACATTCACTTTGAATGGGGGGACGTCATCAGTTGCAGTCCGTATTTATTTTGTATGTATCACTACGAATTTGTATGTTCAAGATTTTTGTATACATTTTTACGAACAGGTTTTGGAGATCAGGCTGTGCAGTAGGGGCCTAATTGGACTGGTAGTCCAAATACAGGAAATTATGTGTCATATGTGTTCACTATCAATATATCTTGACTAGACTACTGGCAACATAAATATGACAAATATGTAATATTTAAAATATGTAAACCAGTTTTCACCTTCTAAATGATGTGCTGCACTCTCCCGGTCCCTATCGTTGGTCCCGTTGTCCTTGAAGTGTGTGAGAATGTGTTTTTTAATGTGTGTAAGCCATCTATATGTCTCACTGAACATTCAACATTTCTGCAATATGGATATTATATGAATTCTGAGTATGTATTTGAATAGGCAGTACATACACGCCTGACTATTCATTTATCCAAGCTGAAGGTTGTTTTTTTTAATGTTACAACGGGCCTTTGGAAAGTAACGTTGGAAGCAGGAACTCGATCCTTGGATGATGGCTGTGTTAAGATGGCAGCTAGGGAACAAAACCCTCCCCAGCGGTGCCTTCATCTTCGATATGCAGGCCCTGCTCACATATCGCTTCCTCTCCTAAGTGTGAATATTTCACACTTTTGTTTATATATGTTTATAGATGTTTATATATGTTTATACACAGATTTTTATTAGGGGGTGTTATGGCTCTGAAAGGTCAAGGTTCATTTCCTGGTAAGGAGAACTAGTGAGACAAGAGGGCGAGGCCTGCAAGGAGGAGAGGAACGTGTGTGTGTGTGTGTGTCACTCAGAGGGTGCGTGTCTGTGTTAAACAATCCTACATGAGAGGACAGTAGCCTATGTAGGAAGAATTAAGTCCGCGTTGCAGTTGTTGAGATTTCCGAGGAGAGAGGGAAGGGATTTGCACAATATATATATATATTAATACATTTCTAATGAAATAAAACATTTAAAAAAAAGAGAGACAAGGCAAAATTTAAGTTTGTTTTTATTCTTCCAACAAGGTAATTCCAGTCAAGCATACAATTAGGAATCTATTACGTAACAATAATACAGTCATTTTGGTGAAAAAAAAGGAATCAACAAAAGTGTATTGATTTGAATGCAGTCATCATAATAACACATTCATTACACAACAAGACAGTGATGATAGTGAAGGTTTAGACGCTTTAGAAAGAAAGAAAAAAAGGTGAGCTGGATAAAACATTCGCCATTCAGCTAAAAACAAAGTATCGCTGTACCTTGACGCGCACAAACAAAGAATAAAGTGCATGTCACTGTTTCATTTTGTGCCCCTGCCTTTTCTCTCTTCCTTCCATCCAATTTACCCTTTTTCTTTGTGTTTGGCAAGACATTTTCTCCTCCACCTCAAAGCCGACGTCATGTTCAGAGCTTTTCTACATAAGTGTTTCATGTCACTCCTTTTTGCTTAAAACACGTCTATTCCGTGTGTTGGTCTTATATTTGGGTTCGGGAGTGGATAGGCAACATTAAAGAGCCATCACTTTCTCTGTCTGTCATTCCCCTTCTTCATACACCATTTGATCTGAAGCCAGATATGGCTTTTAGATGTGTGGATGCGGACACACACACACACACGCGCACACTTGGATGCAATACCTGCATGCAAACACATGCACGAGCGCTAGGAAATGTGCACATACTGTCTGACTGACGGATAAACTGTTTGAGGTAACAACAGTACATGCACACTCAAGCATCTGCAACAAACACACCTTCAGCTCTCATTTCACTTACGAAATATCAAAAGGCGAATAGCATCTCACATCACACAGACAAACAACAATAATACAATCCTCAGTACTCCACGATGCGTTTTTCAACAAAAAAAAACTCCCCCCCACTCTTGACAACTTGTGGAATGTTGAAGAAACGAAAAACCGATATGAATACACAACAAAAACCACCTCCAGCCAATAAAATATGCATGGCAGAGGACGAGTGCCTTTGAACTGACTACTGTCAGAATTAGTAACATGCGCGGCGACGGTCTTCCACAGGTGTTTGTCTGCTTTGTCTTCACACTCCATCCTTTCCATGTTCTATTTTTGCACCCACTTCTGTGTGCATTTTAGCGCTCGCAGATACAGCTCAATAGTGTGATGTCAAAATGCGCGAGGAGCTCACGTCGTTAGACAAGTTGCACCGAAAACATGCGGCATGCATTTTTCATGCTTCTCACACTTCTTCTGCTTCATACAAATCTTCATGACAGACGACATGAATAATTATAACAGCCGAACAGAATGATGGACTCAAGTACAAAATGTTCTGAAAGTCAAAATCAAGATCAGATTGTAAGAATGCGCCTGTCTGAAAAAAAACCGCGATATGTGAGAAGCCAATAACTCATCTTTCCTTTCGCTCTTGCCTTTGTTCTGATCTGTAATTGAAAAAGCATTCCTTTTCCTTTTATTTCTCACCGCTATCCAAAGTCCTATCCTAAATCCAAAACACCAGCCAAGAGGTTAGCCTGGTCACCTGGCACCCACAGGCTCTCTCTCTCTCTCTCAAACACGTGAACACGCATCTGCAAACCTGCCTTCCGTGCTTCAATAAACTGTAAATTCTACCTCTGTGCCCACCACAGCCAAGCTAACCCTTTAAAAGTCAACCGCCTCCACCTTGTAATGCATGAACACACAGACACACACATACATAGCAGCCCACAGTTGCACACAAACAGACGAGCCCAAGCACACATAAAAGACAATGCGGCTTAGTGCATGGTATCAAATTTAGTGGCTACAGGGATCTGGCTGGGGTCGTAAATCTATATCTAACATGTGAGAAAATCTCTACATGAATATCTGGAGACTGAAAGAGAGGGAAGGAGAGACAGAGAAGAGGGGGGGGGCAGCAGAAAGAAAAGTAAGTGGGAAACGGGAGGCTGAGAAGGGCACGGAATGAACTAAACAAAGCGGAGTGAGGGACAGAAGGAATAAGAGCGATAAAACGACAGAGGGAGGAACGGATAGACAGACGCAGCCAGAGAGTCACAGACGGAGACTATATGACAGCGAGCGAGAGGAGGAGGAGGAGGAGGAGGGCCGGGACAGACAGACAGACAGACAGACAGACACAGAGCGAGAGAGACACATGACCCGTCTCTCTCTAACAATGGCTCTTCATGTGGTGCCCAGCTTAGCAGGCGAGCCGCTGGAATCAGGAATGTGGAATGTGGGATTTCAGGCTTGGAAGTGATAGCTACTGTCTGTGTGTAATATTTAGGGCCGACGCAGGCAGCCTCTGGCACGCCATGAAACACACGGGCGCCGCTGCTTTGTTTCTGCCGCATGTCTTTCGGATGAGTGTGTGTGTGTGCATACGTGTGTGCGAAAGTGTATAATCGTTTGTGCACATTGCCGGATACATGGACAACATTGTGGATTTCTTTTTTTTTTTATTACACGTCTCAGAAAAACCTTTTCTTTTTTCTTCTCACGGATTGCACAATTTAGTGAGAGTTTGTACGACATCTGGTAGAAGAAATGTCTAGAACTTTTGCTCAAGTAAAATATGCAGTATGTTGAATAAGGAAAAATAAAACAAAGGTATAAAAAATACAAACGATGCCAAATGGTCCCCTTTTCAAGTCTAATGTTGTTACACACTATTGTTAGATTTTTGTTATTGGATCAAAATGATTGATGCATTGTTACGTGTGTGTCGATGATGCTGACTGACATCACATCAAATATAGTAATGCGACACGCTATGTGTTGATCCACAAAGTAACAACAGCTGTGAAATAATGTAATAAGTGTCGTGGACTACCGGTCTTGCAGGAAGTAGCTTAACGCGCGGTGCCGTACTTTCGTAACATACCCGGTTACTGCGCACACATGCAGGTCCAAGTGGACGCACGCTGTGTATTTGTCACTCTTTGTCTCTCACTCGCCGTCTCCCTCTCACACACTCGCCGCTAACACGGGAGACAGTTGCTGCTGGCCGCCCCAATGCCTGTCACGGCTGTTGGGCCAAATCCCGTGAATTATGGCTCTTCCAGATGTAAGAGATTTCTAAGCTGCCTCCAACGGCCTGCGGTCTGTGGTGAGAAGTAGAGAGAGAGAGAGAGAGAGAGAGAGAGAGAGAGATTTGGGTTCATGAGTGTCATCCAAAAATCCATCTTCCTGTCTCCATCCCTCATCTTTATTATCTTGCTGTATTCTATCAGTAGAAAAACTGTCATTACCTTTGGACAAAAATATAATTTCACTCATCGCACATTTTAAATTTCTTCGGAATTTGTGAGTTATGTCCGTGAGAAAGAGTGAACACCTCGCCCCCTTTTTTTTTTAAAGTGGGCTGGAAAATTGGATATTTTCAGAGGAATATATTTTTCCAGCTGAATGACGGTGTTTGTGGGAAATAAAATCACGACGCACTACATATTTAGGATGAATTCACAATATTTTGGAGGGTTTTTTGGATTGTAAAGGAAAAAGTTTCATGGCCCCCGTTTCAATCCCGGTGAAACAAACAAAGAAAAACGCCATCGCTAATTATCGCACTGGTTATCAAAAAGAAAAAGTAAAACTACCAGTTGCTGCAGGATCGTTGACACATTGATCATTTGGTCCGACCAGTGCAATTATCTTAAACTCCCCGAATGCACGTCAACACTTAAAATTCAACCCCCATCGCTCACTTATTTAGTTTGGTCTGCTCTCACTCTTTCTCTCATTAGTACTTCGTAACCAGACAGTTTATTTGAAATTATGAAAGCATTACACTCTCTGATGTAGCAGTTTAAAAATCAATAGCTGAAACCCTAGCCGCCTCACTTAAGCCCTCTCCTATGGCAAAGGGGATGTCTCTTTCTCCCTCTCTCTTAAATGGTAATTTCATTTGCAGTCACTAAGACCTCACCGATAATTACCGATGCCCTGAGAGAGAAAGGCGAGTGAAAGAAAGAGGGGAGAGATGAGAGACAGGAGGGGGGGGGGGGGGGATAGGAGAGATGGATTAAGAAAGGAGAGTGAATGCCAGTCATTAGAAAAGCTTTTCTCTCTCCCTCTCTTGATCAGAGATTAAGAACACATTGGCTTCGCTCCATCGCTCCCTGACACCAACCTCTGAAAAGAAAAGATGGAGCACAGGAGGGGTAAAAAAAAGGTGAGCGAGGAAGAGACGGACGAAGAAAAAAAAAAGATCCCCGAAGTCTTAAATAGCAGGCCTTAATTTTGACATTGAACCCTCTCTGTTCTTGGGTTACACCGGGGCCGTCCATTTTCGGAGAGCCCCGCCATCCATTCCCCCCCCCCCCCCCTTCATCTTTCAAATGAACTAATCAGAAAGAGGAATATGAAGTGTCCCATTTCTCTAGAAGCATATGGCAATGATTGATGGGGGACAACTTTGACTTTCCCAGGTCATCCTCCTTGCACACATCTGGGAACATGCAATAATTCTCTTAATTTTAGACCCAGTTTCTTCTTTCTTCTTCCTCCTTTCCTGTCCTTTTTCAAGTAACTTCAATTTCACTTCTGCAACAAAAAAAACTAAAAAAACGCCTCCACTCGGCCTATCCCTGCGCTCTCCTTCTCTCCCAAGGCTAACACAGCCAGTCATTTGGGCTGAAATAAAGGTGCCGTAGTGGTTGCCAGATGTTTATAAGGACGGTTGAGGCAATCCCTTTGTTTTTTAGTTATTTTTATGGCTCCCATGATTTTTCTTGCTTGCTTAAAGAAGCCTTAAGAACCACTTATGTCATTTGACTATGGTAACGGGATTTACCATATGTGGAATGTTAGTTGATATTTCATTATGACAAATTCTGCAAAAGAGCCGCGAGGAATATGAGTTACCTACGTCTGTTGCTTTTGAGTGGATTTCAGTGTGACAGCAGCTTCTTTTACTAAAAGTTGTGCATCCTGGGACGTATTCACATCCAGCACAAAGTAGGGGAAAGAAAACTGAAATATAAAGAACCTAAAAAGTTCAAAAGATGAACATTATCTGGATTGTTATTCAAACACATTTTAACTCCCAACAGGCTTAAAGTTGTCTGTGTGTGTGTGTGTGTGTGTGTGTGTGTGTGTGTGTGAGAGAGAGAATGTGTGTCCCTCCCCGACAGCAACTGGGCCTTGTTAGCCGCGCATTGGAATCATCTTTGACTTCGGCTTTACAATAACAGAGGGGAACTTCGACCGCTAAACGCTTTCGGGGAACCCGCCCGTCCTCCTCCTGCCACGCGATGATCCCACCTCTGAAATATTCGGCACCATTAGCATTCCGATGGGTATCATCCCCTTTCAGACACAATTCGCTCTGCTCCTCAGACCTGTTGGCAGAGGGAGAGGCATGGAGCAGATGCAATCTTTTCCCCATTCTGCAGATCTCTTTTCCTCACAAACACAGTCTTGTGGGTGGTATATTTGGTGCAGAGCGAAACAATACACAGACTTTAAGAAATAATCAGTTGATACGATAATATGATTTAAAAGGTGTGACACTAAGTTTGATTTTCCTTAAATGTTGGGGCTAATATATTAAATTAGATCCCATTAATCAAGGAGATTTACGATGCATTTGATGGAAACTTCACTTTGTTCCTTGGATAGCATTCAGTTATCTTTAAATACTTTTCCGTTAAAAAACTTCCGTGAGTGTTATTGGCCAATAAAGCTGAGTGTTGATCTTAATTGCCAATGATGTGACTATGTGCGTAAATTGTTTTGCCAATCAAACCCTCTCTAGAGTTACAGCTGCTTTTATATTGTCAAGCATCACAGTTGAGCTGCCCACAATTAGCTGTGGCTGTGTGTGTGTGTGTGTGTGTGTGTGTGTGTGTGTGTGTGCGTCCTATAATCATGTCTGCTTATGTAAGAGAGCGAGCACTACACTTTAAGCACAATTAGCCAGGCATTTAGGCATCTTAATTGGTGACATTCGATCTCGGGCTCTTGCTGATGAACCACTTAGCAGCAGACTTATGGATCGGCAACCGGCGAAGCTCTCCATTCTCAGATGTAGCAAACGGGTGTGGAATTAGTGCTCTTAACCCTGCCTCACAGATGAAGACAGCTGTATTGACAGGCAGGGAAAGCTACCGTACCTTCCAGTTTGCTTTTTAATCTCTTCCTCTCCTCTTATCGTCTTCCCGCGTCAAGTGTTCCCTCGCCTTATCAACCCGAAGCGAGCGTTTGTTTAAATTTTGATTTTTAAAACCGCCACGTTGGCAGGGGGCCACTCACATTTGGCCAGGACAGTATTTGGCGTATTGTTGTCATGGCGCTGAAGCTGTCTCAGTTGTCTGGGCAACATGTGCCGGGGCTCATGGGAGCCTCATAAATGTCATGTATCGACGGAACCGCTTGGGAAAGCAGGAAGTCCTTTGCCAAAAAGAAGACAGATAGTGCGCCACTGGTGTTTTGGATGCCATGTTGCATTAAATCCTGTTTTCACATGTTAAAGCAGATGTACGCGTGCCCACTATTTCAGACGTGCATGCAACCAGGCACACGAACACACTGACGTTTGCCAACATCTGCGCATGCAACCAGGCAGATATGCATGCAGTGGTCAGCAACAATAGACAGATTTTTCCTTCTTCCTCCCTCTATTCCTGCCCTCCCTTTTTAAAGTAACCCGTGTTCAAGGAGCCGATTCGGTGCCCCCCCCCCCCGCCCTCTGTAGGTGTTTCACATTTTTGCCACACTTTCCCGTCCCCAGGTCATTGTCATGTGCCCAGTCCAACCGAGCAGAGAGGCTTTAAACAGGAGAGACAGCACTTGTCTGTTAGATTAGCCAGTCCTTGACGTCACACGCCTCAGCCTGCACACGCACCACTTGTCTGGAGGTGCCTGTCGAGGTTCATTAGAAAATGCCAAGATTCTTTGTCAAAGTTAGACAGAAATCTCTGAGATGCATGTAGTGTTTTTTTTTCTTTTTCCCCTGACTGTGGAATCGTAGATTTGATTTTTATGTTGTGTGAATCTTGGTATGAAAATACCTTTTTTTGTTTTTTATAAATAAAAATGCCTTTTGAAAATGTTCTTGGATTAGAAATAGATATTTCTGAGCCGACGTCATTATTATTCAACACAAAACCCATATTCCAACCAACAAAGCAAATCCAGGCCGAGGCGAAGGCCAGCCGGCATTTCAAACGCCCCTGAGATTCCTGATATTCTAATACCGTGGGACCTCCTCTCATATTTATTGTGGGAATCAGAATTTATGATGAGTAAATTGGGCTTCTTCATCTGTGTGCCGGGGGGGGTTGCAACATGCGGCCGAGATGGCTTGACTTATTGATTACAGGGAGCAGTATGCCCCATTTCAAAGGGAAGGGGAGCCCCCGCCACGCAACTTCTGAGAATTAATTTGCCCGGCATGGGCCTTCATGAGAAACACATGTCCGTACATACACACAGAGACGCGAGCACAGACCGGCACACAAAAACCAAAGCCTGCAGGTAAAAAAAAAACACACACACACAGACACACACTTATAAAAAAAAAAATCGCTACACATGCATGCACCCCCCCCCCCCCCCCCCCCCCCCACCTCCAACACACATGCATGAGACCAATTTTTGCAAAGCTCCAGGTGACAAGACAAGGCCATTCTGTTGTAACTGAAGATTGTGATCATACTTGCTGGCGGGGGAACAAACACACGCTCAGGCGTCTCGAACATTCTCCCACTATCTGGTAAAAAAATGAAACCTAGAAAGATGTTTAGAAACATTTTTTTTATTTTTACACAATAAGGAGTCGTCAATGTGTAGCTTTTTCATGGTTGTTCCCTGTAGCTGTTATGTCTTTCTTTTATTTTTTTTTCATTCTATATTTCAAAAATTCCGCCAAGGAAAAGCTATCGAGAAAGGCAAAGGGAAGAAACACAAACCCTGTCAGTGTAACGTGTTTTTAGAAATATTTTCGATCTTTTCAACCTTTCACATAAAGTACCATCCAGTGACACTGTAACTGTACTGAAAGCAAATACGACTCCGACACGGTTCCCTCCAAAGCGTTTCTCCAGATCGAGCCACAGCTGAACTATCAGCGGTTCATCCCTGGCATTGTCCACCGGATCGC